TTTTTAGACTTGTGCATCAATGATTTTACTTCTGCATCAATGTTTAGACTTCTGCATCAATGTTTTGACTTCTGCATCAATGTTTAGACTTCTACATCAATGTTTGGACTTCTATATCAATGTTTGGACTTGTGCATCAATGTTTACACTTGTGCATCAATGTTTTGACTTGTGCATCAATGTTTACACTTCTGCATCAATGTTTTGACTTTTGCATCTATGTTTGGACTTGTGCATCAATGTTGACACCTTTGCATCAATGTTTGGACTTTTGCATCAATGTCTGGACTTGTGCATCAATGTTTGGACTTCTACATCAATGTTTGGACTTCTATATCAATGTTTGGACTTGTGCATCAATGTTTACACTTGTGCATCAATGTTTTGACTTGTGCATCAATGTTTACACTTCTGCATCAATGTTTTGACTTTTGCATCTATGTTTGGACTTGTGCATCAATGTTGACACTTTTGCATCAATGTTTGGACTTTTGCATCAATGTTTGGACTTGTGCATCAATGTTTGGACTTGTGCATCAATGTTTACACTTGTGCATCAATGTTTTGACTTGTGCATCAATGTTTAGACTTCTACATCAATGTTTAGACTTCTATATCAATGTTTGGACTTCTATATCAATGTTTGGACTTGTGCATCAATGTTTACACTTGTGCATCAATGTTTTGACTTCTGCGTCAATGTTTTGACTTCTGCATCAATGATTTGACGTCTGCGTTAATATTTGTACTACATAAATGATTCTTTATAGGGTTGATGTGACAAACCATCTGCTTTTTTGTTTAATGCTTTGACACAGTCCTATATGGTTGCCAAAGATTAGCATTTGTACAATTTATTTATTTATTTTGATTATTTATTTAGGCTGCCTTAGAACCTCACAACCTCCGTCCTGCCTATTGGAAATTTCTCAATAAAGTTACAGATAATAAGTAAGTTTATCTATATTATACCCTTTCATGTTAGTTATACCTTTATAGTTCTGTTAACCTAACATGTTCTTAACCTAAAATATTTCTAACCTAACATGTAACCTAGTTTATATAGTCAAATGTTAACCTAACCTATTTAATACTAAGCAATAAGCCTTTAATCTAATATGGTGAGTATACTTATTCTGAGCTAGAAATTTCATGATAGATGAACTCTCGTATTTGCAATTAGCCCTGTATTTTACATTATGTATATCTTTTAACTGTGTCTTTTTACAGACTTTGTTTTAATATAAATATTTTGAAATCTCAAAACAAAGCTATTTCCACCTTAATGTTAAAAATTGTTGGCTTAATTAAATGAATTTATGATATGCTCTTCTAGTATTAATCCTTTATAACCAGCTTGTATATAGAAAAAATATATAGATATATAAAAGATATATATCTCTTGTGATATCATCAATAGGCACTGATTATGAATATACCAATCTGATGTACATGCAAATCTACAGGGT